AAAACAACTTTAACTATTTGGAAGTGTAGACACTTTTAAGTACCTATTGGTAAAATTAAGGTAGTTAAGTCTTTAGGCCTTTCTAAATTAATTTATGTGTGCTCAAAAGTAAGTGCAAAGAAAGAATTCATTAATCGCGTTAAAGACGAGATTGTTATGTTTTTATAATACTTTGATTGGCTTATATTCTAGTGGTGGGCTTAAGCTTCCCGATTTTCATAGCATATTTAAAGCAAGTATGTTTAAATGGGCAGTTAGACTAATGGATAATACTAAAAAGGATTGGAAATTTATACCTTTGAAAAAACTGAAAAAGATAGAAGGGATACAATGCATCCGTGAAAACTTTGACATCAGTAGAATACCTAAAGATTTGCCAAAGTTCTATTAAAATATCTTGAGAATTTGGGCTGAATGAAGTTATTCAGAGATGAATAACATACAGTGTATTTTAAAGCAATCTTTGTGGAATAACACTCATGCTAAGTTCGTATGTGACGTGAAGTACTTGGAATGTTTTCTGAATTGTAATATTTGTTATATAAATGATCTTTGGAACTCAAATACATGTTTTAAGTGGGAGGATGCAAAACAAAAAGTTCTTTCATACAAGGAGTGGTTTACTTGGTTAGGATTAATAAAGGCTTGACCAGCACCATGGCGGCAAGTACTAAAAATAAATCTTACATATAATATTGGAGAAATATCTTTTAAATGAGAGAGATTTATTTATCTGGAAAGAAATATAATATAGATAAAGTGAGTACAAAGTCTATATATGAAAATATTATTTCAAAAAAGTGTGAGACTCCAACATCACAAAAAAGATGGATCGGAATCTTACACAATTGTTACGAGGCGCTATTCTGACATTTAGTAGGGTTTTTTAGTAGGTTTTTTTATTTAACAATATAGCAAAATAAACGTTACAAGTGGATTAGGGAAGGCCAAGGCTAGAAGTGGGTGGTCGCGCTTAGAACGAAGATCGGCCATGATCGGGAGTCGCCGTAAGTTCACACGTCCAACCATGCCCAGCCTGGCAAATAGCATAAATCGTGAAGACTGGTAAAATAGATGTAAGAAAGTATTTGTAGATATATTTTTATATTGGAGTGCTATATGTGGTACCATCAGCAAGGGGCACATCTCTCACGGGATGCCATTTCCAGAGTGTTCTAATCCCAGGAAAGGAAAGGAATCGCTGCAAATTCATGTGGGGTAAATTTTAATACCCCAGGTAAAACCCAAACACTGTCTGATTGTAGCACATATAAGACGAACAGATTTATAGTAAAAGATAAAAGAAGTTAGAAGTTAAAGCTGA